GAACTACTCCTATGGATTTGTGAGAGTCTGTTTATGGGAATAGGAAGCTTTGTCCTCCTGTGGAGCACCTGGTAGTTATCGACTGTTGACCTTGAAGATCTCACTATGCCACCAGGGCTCATTCATTTTTTGCCCCCTTATTCTTTTTGCACAAGTTCCTTGAAATCCCCTATGTTCATATTTACAAAACATTCCAACTTAGCCTAGCTGCATATCAAGTGCTCAGCTGGCACAGGTAATGAGGGGCTACTGTGGTAGACACTGTAGCTGTGGTCTGTTTACAAAAGGCATTTCATTTTATTTTTCACTTGATGTTCATATTAAAGGTTCAGTCAAAAAGGATTGTTTCTAAGGTTCTGTTTCATATGTGCACAGGTTTTTCCTAAGCAAAACACTTTTACACACATCTCTTCAATCAATGGATGCCTGCAGGCAAGTTCTCTCAGTAATGCACTTGATTTATCTTCCCGGGGTACCTTCCAAAGTAGGTCCAATCCAAACAGTGGCTTCCATGGGGATCTGTTGGGCCAGTTAATTTCAAGCCAGAGAGGACAGCTCAGAAAATGTTGTTGACATTTTTTATCCCAAAGGGTCATGCTCACAAAATTTCCCAAAGAACACAGAGCGATCAAGAAGACTTCCAAAAAAGAACTATAACAAAATACTGCACTAGTGAGAAAAAGGCAAAGAAAGTTGTGCTGAGTACTTTTTCTCCACCATGATATTGTATCTGATCAATTTTCAAGGGTAGCAAGTGCTGTCGCAGGAGAGTATTATTGGGAAATTGTATCCACTCCATTAGATGTCCCTGATCTTGACCCTCTGTGTTAGTCTGGGTTGAATAGAGAAATGAATTCATAGACATTTGTATGTGTGTAAGAAAGAGCTTTATATACAAGAGTAATTGTACATTAAGAAAGCATCCCAGTCCAGTCCAAGCCCATAAGTCCAATATTAGCCCATATGTCCAGTACCAGTCTATAAATTCCTCTTCAGACTCACATAACACATGCAATGATGCCAAATTCAGGGAGATCACAGGACAGTGGGTGAAAAGTCTTGCGGATCCAGTGGCAGTAGAGGCATCTCAATATTGGCAGGGGTCTGCACATGGTTCCTCCAGCTCAGGGTACTAGTGTAGTTCCATGTGTTTTGTCAGCTGCAATGTCTTCCAGGGAGTGAGCTGAGAGAGTGTGTCTCCTGCCTCCAATGAGGAATACAGGAGTTCCCAGAATCCTCAGGAGAAATCCATGCCCACACAGAGGCCTTATTGGCTATGACCTGATTGACAGGCTAGACTCCACCCTTTCACTCTTAATCCCTGCATCGACAAACGGTTCTATAACTACCACACCCTTGAAGACTTCTTTTTGTTCCCCAAAGTCAAAGAACATGGAAAAAGAAGACGAGATGGTTACCTCTAGGATGCCCAAACTACAGTTTTGACCTGGTATAAGTGAGAGTGCAGAATTTTTCAGGGAAGGGTTAGAGAGATGCAACTACTGTTATCAGAAATGTGTAGACCTAGATAGAGGACATGTCAAGGGACAATAGCATCCCATTTTAATATTTTTGTTTGAAATATTTCTATGGTTTTTGTAACAATACTTTTTGATTTACTCTCATATATTGTGATAGATGGAGATCATTGCTTCTCTCTCTAGGCCAGTAATGGGTTCCTTCCTTAAGTTATTTGGGACCAACTTTGAAAAGTATGGACTCAGGACAATGGGAGAAAGAATGAGCTTTAAAATGGAAGGGGCATGTGGTCAGAGGAGACATGAGGCATTGTGAGCGGGCCATGAGCGAGCTTGACGAAGGCTTGTGGCTGGTATTTATGATCCAGATTCACTAAGTGGGGTCATTTACGAAAATAGATATAACTAGTTTGATCATTTTATCTGGAACAATATAATGCGATAAAATTAATCCAAACTGATCATCAGGCCAGTAGCCCAGGTATTAATCTGGGAAAATAAACTCACATTTACACTAGACTTGTTACAGCCTAGCTACTAGGTATCTGTTCATCCAATCTTTACAATAAATTGAATTGGTATGTATTATGGTCAACCTTAGTTTACAGAGGAAGAAACTAGATTTGGACAGGTAGATTGATTAGTGTTGGCTTACTTTAGAGTCAGCTCTGATTCCTTAACTGTATTTTTTATATTCAAATCTATATGCATGATCCATTGTAGGTTGTATCTTTTATTCATCATAATTAGACCAGAGAAGAATCAGTTACAAGCAAACACACACACACACACACACACACACACACACACACACAGATAACTGATTCTCTTTTTCATACATTTCGTATTTGTGTTTATCTACTTGATAACATTTATTGGTAAGCCCAAATTAATTACTTGCTCTGCTTTCGTGGCCATATGCAGACATGTGTAGAGTAATGAAATATGTGAGTCATTGGATATGCACAGTCCCAGCTGAAGTCGATTAAAGCAAATCTGTGCTTTCTTGTTCAGCTCTCATCCTCTAAACAAATATTATGATTTATTTAGTACTACTCCCCCCAGCCACTGTAACACACATCACACACACACACACACACACACACACACACACATTTGTTGATGAATTTACTGGTTTAAGTAGTTCTCAAGAGTAGTGCTGAAATGATATTGAGTGTTCTTGAGCATGAGAAGGCTATGGTGTACCTTATGGCATATATATATGTATTACTCTGTGAAATCGAAGTTTATAAAGTGTCATTAATGGAAAAAAAATACATATGTAGAAACACATAAAAGAAGATTATGTGTTGGCCAATTGATGAAAATTTTGTGACTAGTGGCTCCCAGGAACCTGCGGTCCTGCTTTCCCCCTTGGGGCAAGGTTCCAAAGTCACAGTTCATTACGTGTGGCATCTTTGTAGAGCAATTTCTGTGACAATGAGAATTGACTGTGTGTGTGTGTGTGTGTGTGTGTGTGTAGAGGTAGTGGTAGTTAGAATTTTCCCCTCCCATATTTGAGATATCTCCTCCCATATGCGAGACCTGGGTTCAATTCTCAGCCAACACACCTCGTGTGCGCTGGACTACGAAGAAAGGAAAGGAAATCTATTTCCATTGATCAGTCCATGAAAATAGAGTGTGTCCTGGAGATCCCCTTGCAGAGGGGTCTCGGGGAGGACATGAGCCAGTCAGGGTGTGATGTAACAACGATGAGAAATACAACTTTCCTCTAGTTCCTAAATGTTTCCTCCCCGCTCCCACTACCATGACTCGAATTCAACCTTGCAAGTCTGGCTAGACCAGAGGATGTACACTGGTACAGATAGGAACTGAAAATCCAGGGAATCCAGGGTGGATGAGCCCTACAGGACCAGTAGTGTGAGTGGTGAAACAGGGAGGGTAAAGGGAGAATGGGTAGGAAAGAGGGAACCGATTACAAGGAACTATATGTGACCTCCTCCTTGGGGGACAGACAACCGAAAAGTGGGTGAAGGGAGATGTCGGACAGGGCAAGATATGACAAAATACCAATTTATAAACTATCAAGGGCTCATGAGGGAGGGGGAAGCGGGGAGGGAGGGGAAAAATGAGGACCTAATGTCGGGGTTTAAGTGTAGAGAAAATGTTTTGAGAATGATGTACAAATGCGTTTTACACAATTGATGTGTGTATGGATTGCGATAACAGTTGTATGAGCCCTTAATAAGATGTTAAAAAAAAAAGAAAAGAGAGTGTATCACCATGATCTGCTCCCACTCGCTCCTGGGATGGCGCTGGACCATGCGCCTTCATTAAGTCATTAGAAGTTGGCGAATGCGATGACAGCTAACAACAGCAAAAGCAACAAGACATTTGTGAGAGGGAATTGGTTGATGCCATTGTGGGGCTAATTGTGATGTGGGGACTTTAAGTACACTGGACAGGCAGGCAGGGCACAAGCACACTAGAACCCACATGTCTTGCCTCTGACTTTGGTGTATGGTGTCTAACCACCTCATTCTGGTTGCACCTCTGGTGAGAATTTGCATTCCTGTTCCGGGTTGACTGAATCTGAATCCACATTTTAGCCAACTTCCTTCTTATATATACAGAAAACTTCTGGGGATTACCTAGGGATAATGTGAAAATGTAGATTCTGATTCAGTCTATTTTGTGGAAATGCAAATTATCAGCCGGAGGTTGAACTGGAATAAACTGGTCAGACTGAAGCCCTGCTTTGATGGCAAAAGTATCCTGCAGACACCAGAACACTTCGTCATGGAGCGAAACACTGGAGTCAAAGAACTTAAGGGAGGATCCAAGGGGAGGTTGCTTTTGCAGGCTCAGCTCATGCCTCATGCCAAAGAGCTGAATCCGCTGATTATCTATAAAGTGCAAGAGCTACAAAATGGTTGCTGCCCTCTGTTGACCACAAACCCCAACCAAAACTAAATCCAATGCCATCAATTGATTCCTACTTATGGCGACCCTGTATTGGGTTTCTGAGTTTGAAAATCTTTATTGGAGTAGACAGCCTCATCATTCTCCTGTAGTGTGGTTTGTGGGTTTGAACTACTGACCTTGCAGTTAACAATCCAATGCCGACTCAACAGCACCGCCAGGGTTCCGTGTCTCACTTTTACTCTCCTATTTCTCTAGGGGACTATGTTCATCAGAAACACACCAGACATGGAAGACAGGGACCCTTTAGGTATAATTTTCAATTTAGCCAAGTTGACCCATTGGGAAGTCAACACATGGATGCTCAATAAATACTTTTTCTTGAATACGATGCTGCTGCTTTTGGAAGTTCCCTGGATGTCAGAGCGCAGGGTGCTGCCTATATCTCTACAAGCCAGGACACCTTGACTGACTCACTTAAGTTTTTTGAGTCTTGGATTTCTCAACTGTAAATCTCCAAGAATAATTCCTGGCCTGCTTATTTAATGGAATTTTTATGAGCACTAGTTGAGATAATCTGAATTCAAAGTACCTCAAATATTATAAAGCATAAACAAACGTTATATAGGATTGCATTACTTTAATGACTACTAGTGTCCTAGTGATACTTTAGCTTCCTCATCTGTTACATGGTGGTAGTAGTTTCTGACCAATTTACTTCACTAACATGGCAGGGGATAAAATGAGATGGGGTGAGAAATCCATGGTGTACTCTTCAAAGGCAAGACTTGTCCTTCGACCCTGCAGACACATTTTCACCTGGTGTTTTAGCTCTTCATTTTGTGGCTGAGAGGGGCAAGTGCGTACCTGGAAGCATTAGTGATCTTGGCAGCTGAAGGCCAACGGCCACTCCTCGGATGGGAGCTGTGGGCAGTGGATGAGGATTCTGTCCTGTAGATCTGGGCTTGCATTGCATAGCAGCCAAACTTGCTCATCAGAATGAAGAAATCCCTGCGGAAGGTCTTGGTAAAGATGGCATAGAGGAAAGGGTTGGCACAGGAGTTGATGGGGTAGAACAGCACGAGGAGGATCTTTGATTTGGATACAGTGATGAGGGGCATCTTGAGGGAGGCAGAGATAGCAAAGAAGGAGATGGGCGCCATGCAAAGGAAGTCAGTGAAGATGAGCAAGGCCATCCGCTTCGCGATCTTGGTGTCGCTAGATGAAGACACGATGTTGGGATTCCTCACCGTGAGGTAGATGTGGGTGTAGCAGCTGCAGATGACCACAAAGGCCAGGACATTGAGCACAAGGAGGAACATGACATACAGTTGTGACAAAGGGCTATCGATGTCCATTGGCAGGCAGATGCTCACTTTCATATAGCTGCTGATGCCACAGATGGGCAAGAGGGCAACTGTGAAGGCAAAGACCCAGCCCACAAGCATGATGCTGGCGGCATGGCGGAGCTGCACCTTGCAGTCCAGCTGCATGGCATGGGTGATTGTATGCCATCTTTCCATGGTGATGGCTGTCAGAGTATAGACCGAGAGCTCACTGGCAAAGATGGTGAAGAAGCCAGCAGCCTCACAGCCTGCTCCAGTTTGCCAGTCAATGGCATAATTGTGGTATTGGCTCTTGGTGTGGATATCAACAGATGCTATGAGCAGTAGGTAGATGCCAATGCAGAGGTCGGCAAAGGCCAAGTTGCACATAAGGAACCTGGGAACAGTGAGTTTGTATTGGCTGGTAATCAGGATCACCAGTACTATGATGTTCCCAGTGATGGCCAGGATGCTAATCAGCCATATCAGGACTCGGAGGATATTGTCCCCCATGATATCTTCACACGGGTTGAATGCATCAGGCTTAGGGAAGCAGGTCACCTCAACCACTTCATTACATAATTCATAGTCCAATTCGCTATATATCATATCCACTCCTCCGCCGTAACTGGATTCATCATCTTCTGTCACGGAGACTTTCTGACCCCTAACCTGAGCCACATCATCAACTTCTGGCTTTAAAATAGAGTTGTTGCAAAGTGGATGAAGCCCCGAGCTAGAAAAATAGAAAAGGGAATAGACTCAACATCCTGGACGCAGAAGAAAAAATACATCAGTCTTTACTCAGGACAGAAAGGGTGGGGTTTCTGAGAGGTATTTGTTCAATTTTCCTTTTTCCAGCCGCTTGTCTGCCCTTGAGGTTACGCTCAAGGGTTAATGCTGCTTTCTGTAAATGAACACAGCAACTCATGTGGATATTCCTAGAGTTGGACAGCCCACCGGGGAAACCACCTGGCCACAACCTGAATGTGGGGAGGAAGGCGCCTGGGACTAGCGCAGCCTCGCTGCTAAGTGCAAATAATTTACAGACCCTGCCCTTTCCCTTCCTCCCTCTCCACGGAGGTATCTCTTAATATGCCCTGGTAGGACATACTTTTATTCCTCCACTCTCGAGAAGACCTTGACTGCTTTCTGACACGAGGGCAGTTTTGCTTATTTTGCCCATATCACTTAGAGGATCAGAATGCACACAATCAATCCCATCCATGCTTGGTGCTCTTAGGCTGATGGGCAGCCAGCTAATTTTCCTGGTGTGTTATGGAGGGTGCTTGATTATCGCACTCCCTAGGGACCCCAAGGGGCCTCAAGCATGTATATGTTTGCAAGGTAAGCCTAAGTCTCTCATAGTAAACAGTTCCCCAGTGTGCCCTCCAAAGAAGAAACACAGGTGGCAAAGGGTCCTAATTTATTCCAAGATCATAACCCAGCCCCTGGGGAGTTTGGTGCTGCTTGGTCCCATTTGCCTGTCTAGGCTTACCCTTTAGACTCAAATGTACAGGAAGTCTTGTCAACAGGGACGTGACACTTTCAGAAGGGATTTGAATTAACGCCAATGATAGTCTACCCAGACAGAGGGATCACGCATACAAAGAGAGAAAGAGTCAGAGTTCTGTCTTGAAACAAAGGTTAAAAGGATGGGATCACTTCACACTGGGGCTAAGTTTGATGGAAAAAGAAGTCACACACAAACATCTTGGCTTCATCCCCGAGGGACAAATTCACAGCAGGGTTACTGCTTATGTTTTTTCAAACTCTATAATCTCGAATTTGATTCTGAAGGTGAGTGTTCCCCCCCTTCCCAAACCTCCAGGATGAGAAGGCTGGTGGCCAGAGAGTGGAAGAGTTGAAGGCTTCATTTGTCACAAAGGTTCAGACCTAGCTAAGCCTTCAAACAGGTGTGGACTGAGCTTTTCGCCATCAGAGTCGATGAAAAAGGGTCACTGGAGGGAGCAGTCTCTCCTTTTTCCCTCCTCTAGAAAGGTAACTTCCAAGAAGCAAATGATTTTCTCTTGGCCCAAGAGACTCTCCCTTGGTGGGGAGTGAGTCATCTTTTGTCTTAGCGACCGATAGTGTTTCTCACATCCATGACATTTCTCTGCCCCTGAGTCAGCAAGCTGGGCTGTGAAGATCGCCAAGGTTCAACTCTGTACAGAGGTGTCTCAGAAGAAAGCTCTGAGACCTAACAAAGAATTAGCCATTGACAACCTGTGAAGCACAGTTTTACTCTGACCCACACATGGTTACTGTAAATCCAAACTGATTTAATAGAAACTGGTTAATTAAAATTGGGAATAAGAATGCAGAATGGTTGAGTCAGGGGTTTTACAACAAAGGCGAGGCAAGCTCAGAAATGGTCTTTTAGGGTGGCAAGAGGGTTATTGTCTTTGTGGCAGTTACATCATCTCCTGTCAACTTGCAAAGTGGCGGAGTTTAGCCTGTGCATCAGGTCTCAGCTTGATGACCTCATTTGGAGGCACGAAGGAGATAAATAGCTCACTGGAGGCCAGATACACTCTCTGCTTCATCTTCCTACTGACAAAACACATGCAGCCAAGCTGATGGAATTGATCTGTACTGGGCTGGGATGTTTACCCAATACACAATTACTCTTTGTTATAAAGCTCTCTCTTACACACATATGAGTGTCTCCCTGGATTTGTTTCTCTTGTCAACCCAGACTAACAGAGTCTTGTACTAAATCATCCTGTTGACTCTTAAATTCAGTCGCTGAGTTAGCTGTGTTTCAACTCTAGGAACAGAGATTAAGCCACACGGAAGGCTGCTGGAAGGCTATGGCTCCATTCCAACTCAACCATTCCAGAGACAACCTTCACTTTCTAGGCCTCAGGGTAGATGCTGCTGAAGGGTCTCTGTCGGTACTACTATCAACGTTGTTAGGTATTGATGCTTCCCGTTCATAAAACGGAAGAGTGTGTTTGAGGACCAGGTAAACAAAATGGATCTCTGAGAAACGAAACTGAAAACGAAACTGTGTTGTCTCTTTGGCGCTTTGGGAAATGCTAACTCTCCTAAGGAGTTGGGGTCTCATCCAGCATCAGTTTAGGAGTTAGTACTCTTGGATCCTGTTATGAATGACATTGTGCTCCCCAGATTTATGTTGGAATTCTAACCTCTATGCTTCGGAGGTAGTCTCATTTGGAATTAGGGGTTTTTATTATGTTTACGACATTTAAGTGTAGGATATGTCTTAAATAGAAAGACTTTTGAGACGTAAACTAGATACAGAGAGAAAGAAGCACAAACCATGGAAAGATAGATGCCATATGATGATCTTCAAGGAACACTGAGAAGAATACTACAGATTCTGAGATTGGGGTTTTCCCAGAGCCAACAGAGAAACGTCCCTTTTTCTAAACCGTGAGAAGGTCAATTTCTGTGTGTCAAAGCCGCCTACTTGTGTTATTTCTGTTATCACAGTACTACGAATGTAAGACACAACCCAATCAATCAATCACTAAATGTTTGGGAGGAACAGAAGAGAGTGGCCTAGAGCAGTGGTTTTCAACCCTCCTAACCCCGCCACCCTTTCATACAGTGCCTCATGTGGTGGTGAACCCCCAACCATAAAATTATTTCCATTGCTACTTCATCACTGTCAGTTTGCTACTGTTATGAATCAGGCGACCCCTGTGAAAGGGTCGTTCAACTCCCAGAGGAGTCGTGACCCACAAGTTGAGAACCCCAGGCTGAGAGCCTGGGCTTTGGCGGTGGATGGCTCAGAGGGTTTGGACCTGGTATGGATGGGATTGTGGATGTTATGTGCTGTCTCTGAGCCTCAGGACTGCATCTGACAAAGCAATCATTATGATGATAGTACTTTTGTGATTGAGATAAAGGTGCAAAACACAATAGTGTCTGGAAGAGTACTCAACAAATGTCGGTTATATAAAGATGTGTGCCAGAGATGGTTGATGGAGTTTCTTTTGGGGTTCAAGCCCTGATGGAATTTAGCTGCATATGCCACCCTGCCTTAAATCTGGCAAATGAAGACCTAACTCTAAGATAAACTCAATAGTGTTAAAACAAGAGCAAGGTATACTGCGAGCGGAGTAGAGCATCTTGACAAGGCCCTCTCTGCTTCCATGCCAAATGAAGGACGAGGTTGCAATGACTTGTGAGTGAGAGCCCAGGAGGAGAGTTTGCCCCAAACTCCATAGTCATGAGGACCAAAGTTTATACGTTGGGCACTATCTCTGAATCAGGCCTTGAAGAACTCTTCATCGTACGACGTTAGACTCAAACCTTGTTACCAAACCACACTTCTGGTGATATGCAATAAAATGATAGTCTTAATTTTTTCTGCAATCACCAGCAGAATAGGATAATTCTTTTGCAATGTGCCTGTGTGAGTATGAATTTGTTAAACATAAATTTAAAAGCCTATTGTAATTTTTGTTATTTCACCATGTCATGCCTCCCTGGAAGAAAGGTGGGCCCCTTCTTTGTTTCATTCTGAAGGCTCTGGTAGTAAGTTACAACATGTTGATGACAGTCTGGTAGGATTGGGGACAGCTTCATGGCATGGGAAATTGAAGGCGAGCCTTGAGTTTTCTGGTGGGCAGAGCCCTGAAGCTAGTTTATCCTCGCCAGACGTCTCCAGAGCAGAGGGGTCTGAGCAGCCCAGGAAGATTAGAAATCCCTGGGGCATGCTGTAGTTGGGTCAGACAACACACTGAGTATCACTCTTCCAGTGATCATCTATTCTTTGTGATTTCTCTTGAGGTGTTCCAGCTCAGCAGTGAATTAGTATCTTTCTTGCCTGGCTTGGGTTCTTGTCTGGGAGGGAAAAGAGGCGACACTTTTGCTTCAGTCCAGTCCCTTTAGAGTTCTAGTCACCAGGAAGAAACATCCTGGCCCTTGAAGGAATCTCTGAGAAGCGATCCGGATTCTGGCCGGTTTCCTGATGATGCATGCTAAGTCTGAAGAGCAGCCTCTCTTCTGCAAATCCTTCCAATGGGTCAGAGTGTGAACTCCTGGGCACTGTGAAAAAATTTTAAGGTGTATAGTATTTTTGTTTGCTTGTTTGGCTTGGGGGCAGGGAAATGTCTATATGTGCAGCACCTTGTGGGCTAAAGATGAAATGGTAAAGAAGACGATGTTCAGCAGGAAACCCTATCACAGAGACTGTGTGTTCGTGCTCTGCAGCGATACAATGGCCCCATGGAGCAGAGTAGAATCGCCCGATAGCAGAGCAGATTGTCGGGTCTTTAATTCTATGATGTCGCCAGAGGGTTTGGTAAGCAACCAAGTACTTTAACATTTTGCCATTAGCACTCCTTATGAGTTGAAATTGTCTTAATATTTTTTTTATTATTAGTCATTTTATTGGGGGGGTTCTTATAAATCTTATAACAATCCATCATTCAATCGTATTAAGCACACTTGTACGTATGTTGCCATCAACATTTCTAAAACATTTTCTTTCTACTTGAGTCCTTGGTATCAGCTCCTCTTTTTTCCCCTTCCTTTCCCCACCCTCCCGCCCTTATGAACCCTTGATCAATTGTATATTATCGTTATTTCATATCTTATACTGTCTGTTGTCTCCTTTCATGCACATTTCTGTTATTTGTCCCCTTGGGGGGTGGGCTATATATGGGTCCCCCCTTTCTTCCCTCCATAACAGCTTCTACCATCCCACTACCCTCATGATATCTCTATTCCCACTACTGTTCCTGAGGGTTTTATCTGTCCTGAATTCCATATGTCAAAAGCTCTTATCTGTACCAATGTGTGTACTCCAGTCTAGCTGGATTTGTAAGGTAGAACTGGGTCATGGTAGTGGGGGAGGGGGAAGCATTTAGGAACTAGAGGCGTGATGTGTGTTTTATCGGTGCAATACTGTACTCTGGTTGTATCCCTTCTGTGGGGGGATGTCCAATTGTCCACAGATGGGCTTTGCGTCTCAGCTCCAACTCTCCTCTTTCACATCGATATAATTGTTTGTTTTGGATCTTTTGATACCTGATCCCATCGACTCATGATTACACAGGCTGATGTGTTTCTTCCATGTGGGCTTATTTGCTTCCCTGCTAGCTTTCTGCTTGTTTAACTTCCAACCTTTAAGACCCCATATGCTATGTCTCTTGATAGCTGGGCACCATTCATCTTCTGCAACACATTTGCTTATGCACCATTTTGTCTTCAGTGATCGTGTCGGGAAGGTGAGTATGAAAGAGTGCCAGGTTGTTAGAACACAGTGTTTTTGTTTTTACGGAGGCCCAAAGTCTATCTGCTATCTTAATAGTTAACATGTAAAGATATGCACATTGGTTTCTATCCTTTGCATTTAAATTAACATATTTACATATATACATGCCTATAGCTATGCCTCTATAAATAGCTTTTGCCTCCTACTTATTTCCTCTATTTCCTTTTACCTTCCTCCTGTCCCACTATCATGCTCACCCTCCAGTCAGCTCTCAATAATTCCTCTTAGATACATTGCAGTGGATCAAACCCTACCAGACATAATACCCCTCCTTGTCATCAATTTTACGTCTCTGTCATTCTCATATCCCTGAGTTTGTTGGATCCCTGCTCCCTCTCCCCAACCCCTCCTCTCCCATGTTCCCTTGGTATTGCCGGTCCCATTGTTTCCTCCCTGGGATTGTTTGTCCTGCCTATCTTATATAGATAGACGTAGGGCAAGAGAAAAATAAGAATCGATAGATAGTTCCAGGTCTGTTTGCTGACCCTTATGAGTTGAAGTTGTCTTGACAGCACACAACACCACATGAGGTCAGTGACGAGGTATCGTTCAATTGAGTATGGCTACAGGTGTGGACTTTATCAGGGTGTGCAATGGCAGGTGAGAGTTTTGGGTTTGGAATAAGTGTAATCTCCACTCCTTCTCTACTCTTTCCATAGCCTGTCTGATCCCTCCAGCTATTGGGAGGATTCCACCCGATCACCTACTGGGCCAAGGCTCTGTTTAGATTTCCCTCTATAAATCTTGGTTGGAAATCTGAACTTCCTCTAAATCTAGAGAGATATCTTATTTTTATCTTTTCTGTAAAGTACAATATCTGAAGGTGGTTAGAGAGGTTTACAGTGGTTTGGATGTGTTGGAAATGAGTTATCATTATATGATATGGTGTTTGTGCTTTTTGCCTCAAAAACTAACCTTGACAATAGTAGAATTGAACAATTAAGGTGTGCAGTTTGGGATTTGAAAGACAGATCCATATGGTACAAAGGTAAAGGGGACCAAATATTTATTAAGGACAACGATGAGTCAGGTACTGAAATTGGCTTTCTTTCGATTGTTTAATACTTGGTAGAGTCTACTACATGGGTAGCCTTTACAACTACCTATATCCCCCAGTAAACACAATTGATTTGGAATGTGTACACAACTGTTTCCGTCAGGGTGGGTTCTCCAGAGGTTGACTTTCTGCATGCCACAGAAACATAGACGTTCTGTACCAGGTTCTGCCATGGGGAGGTGCCCAAGGGAGGTGCAGATGAAGGGACTCTGAAGACTCACCTTTGTTGTCTCCAGTTCTCGAAGGCACAACAGTGGCTGGGGTAGGTGAGGCTGGCGTCCATAAGGGAGACAAACTTGTCCAAACTGGGAAGCCTTTTTAAGTTGTAAGTTGACCTGGCTCTCAGCTTCTTAAGATTGTCTAAGCCATAGGTCGGCAGAGAATGGATTCTTGTCCTTGAAATATCTCTATAAGGTGAAAAGGTAAACACAATCGGATTACTATGGGCCTAGAATTTTCTGCTTGGTTAGCAAGCAGCCTAGTAGATACTATGGTAATCCTCTAATGAGGAGGGTGACATCAAGGCATCCAAACTATCTAGGTTAGATCATTACTCTGCTAACAGGACATTCGGTCCAGGTAGGAGTCCTGGCCCTATGTCCCTGTTAGGAGGAGTCAGATAACTTAGTCAACAAACCAAACCAAACAGTTGCTATTGAGTTAATTCTGAAGCATGGTGATCACATGGTGTAGAACTGTGCTTCAGAGGGTTTGCTGTGATTGTTTTTTGAAAAGACCAAGGTGCACCTGGCCCATGCCATGGGCTTTTCTATCACTTTTTGTGCATGCAAAAACTGGAAAATGAATGAGGAAGATGGGAGAAGAACTGCTGAATTTGAATTCTGGTGTTGTTGAAATATGTTGGATATTCCATGGATTTCCAGAAGAATGAGCAAAAGAAGTTCTGCCAAAATGTTCTTTGAAGGGATGGTGGTGAAACTTTGTCTCACTTACTTTGCACACACTGTCAAGATGGACTAGTCCATGGAAAAGGACACCCAGTTGGGCAGACAGTCAGCAAAAATAAAGATCTTCAATAAAATGGATTGGCCAGGAGGTTGCCACAAGGAGCTCATCCATGGCTGCAATTGTGAGGATGGGACAAGACACGTGGCATTTTGTTCTGTTGTCTAATAAGTCATTATGTGTTGGAACTAACTACAGGATACATAAAATTAGCAACAACAAGGCACATAAAGAAATTCTGGTATACAAGAGAGCACCTAATTATAGGTAGTCCTGTTCATAAACATCACACAGAAATAGCTGCACTTATTCCTGTTTTGTGCTTTGGTTAACCAACACAAGCTGGCAACTCTGTACTTTGGTTAACCAACACAAGTCTATGTGGAGGCCAGCACAAACGGACAGCTTCCTGAGCTTCCTGTTTCTGGAGGATTCTGAAGTTCTATCCTTTCTAACAACACCGCTAGTAATGTGGGTTCTTTTCCAGTAGCACCATTGACAACACCAGCCTTGAAAATGATCAAGACTAGCAGGTAGGAGTGAGAAGATGTAAGTGGCCCCAGTTTGGGCCTCTTGGTGCCAGCAGTTGCACAGCTTGACCATGAGAAGGTGCAAAGATGAGGACTTGATTTATTTCAGCACCTGTGGGGGCCCTTGTACATGATGAGAAGAATCATTTGCAGTCTGCATTTCCTGTCGTCCAGGCAGGGAGAACTCAGAGCAATGCCTCTTGAGAGTGTGAACATGTGTAGGACATCCCATATGTTCTTACAGTCTGGTGAAAATGAAATTCTCAAAGCCTTGTTTGTATTGTTTTCTCATTCAGAATCTCAAAATAGCTTTGTATTGTACAACGAACCCACCTCCAAATGACTGCTCTATTTCTTATGACCCTTCCCCAATCAAACTTATTACATAAGGGTAACCCGCCCCACCCTAAACAAGATGTTTTAAAAAGCTATGTATTTACATATATATGCTTTGTTTTTTTATATGTTTATATATATATATAAACAAAACAACCTTCAAAGTAGTCTCCATTACACTTAATACATTTGTCAGATCTGCTATTCCATTCTTGGAAACATTTTCACACTCATCTATTTGGATAGCTGACAGCATCTCCCTCATTTTTTTCTTCACTTCTTCTACGCCATCAAATTGCTGTCCTTTCATGTCCCTCTGCATTTTCAGAAACAAAAAGATGTTTCATGGTGAGTAAGGTGAGTAAGGTGCATGGGGCAAGAGAGACATGCTGTTTTTTGTCGAAAACTGGCACACTGAGATGGCTGTGTGCACAGGTGCATTGCCGTGGTGGGAAAACCAGTCTTCTGTCTGCCACAGATTAAACCTTTTTTTTTGGTCACAAACTGTTACACTGAAATCTTTTCTGAACCTCTAAATAGAAAGCATTAAAGATTAACAGTCTGACCTGGTGGAATGAACTCCACATGCACTATCCCCCTCGCATCAAAAAACAAACAAACAAACAAACAAAAAAACCCCCAAATGAGCCTCATCTCGATCTTTTATTTCACTTGATGAGCTTTTTTTTGGTGAAGTGATAAGGGCGTCTTCCACTGGCTTGGTTGCTGCTTTCTGAGTCTTAAGAATAGCATCCTGTGTCATCACTAGTAATGACCTTGGAAAAATAAGTCTGGGTCGCTTTGGAGATGTTCTCTGGAAGCACAGCATGTTACCACTCGAATCTCCTTTTCCTGGTCAGTCAGAACCTGAGGCACAAAGTTTTCAGCGACCCTTCTCATTCCTAAATTGCCCGTTAAAATTCACTGAATGGAGCTCCAAAATAGTCCAATCCCATCTCTTCAGTAGTCCGCTGTTGATCTTCGAGCACGAGAGCATGAAGTTTGCTAACATTTTCATCCATTTGAGAAGTTGACTCATGTCCAGAACAAGGTTTGTCATCAATTGACATTTCACCTCTTTTGAAATGAGAAAACCACTTGGACACTTAGGTTGTAAGCTGTGTTCAACATCACAACAGTTTCTGTGGCATATTTCCTGAGCAGGTAACAAAATTTCACAGCTGCATACTACTCTCTTAAATAGGCCATCCCAAAAAAACAAGGTTTGAGCAAAACTGCTTTTACAAAAAAAAATCACTGTGACCAAAGAGAACCTTCTCAAGAGACACCCCTGGGTGCCTTCACTCAGAGTGAGTTGCTGGATGCTTGGCTAGCAGGAAAAGTGCATACTATGACAGCTCCTCCCAGTGGAGGTTTCCCCGCCCCATTTTTGGGGAGGTATCCCCACATCTGACTTGTACACACCCGATTTCACCATTTCCTCACCTCACAATTCAACCTGATGTTCCTTTTACTACTGCACAAGAGTCACAAAGGTCATATCTTAGTTCCAACCTTCCCCCCTCCCCCCCCCCCGCCCCAATATGTTTGAAACTAACTTCTATGTCACTGTGTTAGTCTGGGTACTTTAGAGAAATGAATCCACAGAAACTCATGTATAAGAAAGAGTTTTATATAAAGGTTAAGTGACATCAAGAAAAAATCCCAACCCAGTGCTGCCCTAGTCCACAAGTCCAATATTAACCCATTAACACATATGTCCAACACCAATCCACAAAGTCCTCTTCCATCTCACAAAACAGATGCAATGATGCCGACTGCAGGAGGAAAGCCGAGTCAGTGAACGTGTAAGCATCTCGGCGCTGGCAGGGGTCTCCACATGGGTGCTCCAGCACCCAGTGCTGCATTGGGGTAGGTCCATGTGGCTTCTCCTCAGGAATGTCTTGCAGAAAGTGAGCCTTGCCAGCTGAAGCAGGAACTGGCTAAGGCAGCTGCACCCTGGTCCGACCATCAGAAATCAAGAGACCCAAGCCTCACCATTTATCTCTCTGCTCTTCAATTAACCCCACATGTGTTTATTGGCCACGTTGGCACAATAAACTAACTAACTCAGTCACTGAAGATTCTAAGTGCTCTTCATTTCTCTTTAAAATCCTCCTTTTTTTTTTTTTGGTCCTTTTCCTATCCTCCCTCTCTCCAGGTTCTCACCGCCTCCTAGCCTCATCCCTCCTAGCCTCCTCATAGTCATCAAAGTCTGGCCGATTTTTGTATAAAACACATTTCTTCTTGTTTTACCTTATAACAATAGTGACATTAAATATTTATCTGTGTAAGATTGACAGTTTGCTCAGCAGAATGTTCTCTAGTTTTCTCTGTGTCTTGTGGTGTTTAAGAGAGCTGTCATTATTTTTCATTGATGCATAAAATCCCGTAGTATGAATGTTTACATAACATAGTATGTTTACCCAATCCTTTATAATTGTGGTTTTTGGTTGTTTCCCTCTTTTTGTTCTTATAGAAATTGCTGTAGCAAACATGGATGTTCATGTATCTGTTTGTGTTATATATAAATTTTTAAGTAAATTTATGCGGGCTCTTACAGCTTTTATAACTTTCCAAACATCAATTGTATCAAGCATATTTGTACATACGTCACCATCATCATTTTCTAAACATTTACTTTCTATTTGAGCCCTTGGTATCATCTCCACTTTTTTCCCCTCTCTCCCCCCTCCTACCCCTTGATAAATTATAAATTATTATTATTTTCATATTTCACACTGATAGCTGTCTCCATTCACCCATATTTGTTGTTCATCCCCCTGGGGGAGGGGCAGGTTATGTGTTGATTATTGCAATCAGTTCCCTCCCCCCCTTCCTACCTCCACCTTTCTTCCTACGCCCATGGTATTGCTACTACCATTTCTGTTCCTGAGGGGTTTATCTGACCTGAATTCTCGGTGTTGTGAGCTGTGATCTGTGCCATTGAACATGCTCTGGTTTAGCCAGAGCTGAAAAGTAAGACTAGGGTCATGATAGTGGCCGGTGGGTTTGGGGTGGGGGTGGGGGAAGGAAGCCTCAAAGAACCAGAGGAATATTGCGTGTTTCATTGGTGCTATACTATGGCCCTGGTTGATTCAACCCTTCCTTGTGATCCTTCTATGAGGGGATAGATTTGGGGTCTCTGCTCTGACTCCCCTTCTCAATAATTTGTTTGTCTTGTTTTTTTTTGGTTTTTTGGTGCCTATTACCTGATTCTGTCAACACCTCATGATCGCACAGGCTGGTGTGCTTCTTCCATGTGGGCTTTGTTGCTTCTTAGCTAGATGGCTGCTCTGTTTCCTTTTACCTTCCTCCTGCCCCACTATCGTGCTTGCCCTTCTTCTGCCTCTCAGTAATTCCTCTCAGCCAAATTCCTGTTACTCTAGCACCCCCGGCATCTCTACATCCTCCTTGTTGTAGGTTTTAATTCCCTAGTTGTTCCCCTGTCTATGGCATTGTTTGCTCACCACTCCTTTTCCTACCTCCTCCTCTCCCCAAGTCCCTCTGGAACTGTTGGTCCCATTGCTTACTCCTTGGGCTTGCTTCCCATGCCCATCTCTTAATTTTCTGAT